TAATGTAATCTTAAGCATCTCAATTGACCATATTAATGACTAATGGTGATAATAGTGATTATAGATGACAGATTAAATAAGTAGACAGACGGCAGATAGATAAGTAAATGGTAGGTAGGTAGATCTAGATGGATAGGTAGATGATAGATTGCTGTGGGATAATACTCTTGTACACTGTAAAGATTTGTCACTCAAATTAATAAAACGCTGATTGGTCAGTAGCCAGGCAGGAAGTATAGGCAGGGCAACCAGACTAGGAGAATCCTGGGAAGAAGAAGGGCAGAATCAGGAGTCACCAGCCAGATGCAGAGAAAGTAAGATGAGAAAACCACACTGAGAAAAGATACCAAGCCACGCCACATGGCTAAACATAGGTAAGAATTATGGGTTAATTTAAGTGTAAGAGCTAGTTATTAATAAGCCTGAGCTACTGGCTAAGCATTTATAAGTAAGTCAATTATTTGGGAAGTGGCTGCTGGATATTTGGGAATGGGAAGTTTCTCTCCCACCTACAATAGATGAATGAATAAATTAGATAGATAGATAGATAGATAGATAGACAGATAGATTAGATAGATACTTATATATGACACCGAAGAAAAGATAGGAGATCAAGCCAGAGCTATGACTGTCTACTGGATTTAGAACACCTGAGATAAGGTAGCCCATTCATATCCTTAAGTCACATGATGACTTGAGTATAACTGAAGATAACTTAAGATAACTACAAAGAAAATCCAAAGTTTAAGGTATCTTTGCTATTCTCCAATTAACTCCTGAAACAGACTTATTCTAAATGACATCTGACATTACTTACTGCTCACTAAGTAATTTATGCACATAATCTCATCTTATTTTTAAAGATTTAAGTATCTTTTAAAAAATTACACAATGGAAGTGTCAAGCTAAGACAACATAAGTCATTCCCCCAGAGTCCTAGAACTACTAACACAATCCAAGTCCTATCTAGATATAAAATTCTTCACCTTGACATTTATTTTCTCTCAGCTACAACAACAAAAGCATGTAGATAGAAGATGGAAAAAAAGTAGTGAATTCTGTCTGTGTCTTATATATGATAAATTCCAGAATTATTAGAGCCAGATGGACATGATAAAAGATTATAGGTCTTGGCCTCAAAATATCAGGGATCTTGGTCTAATCTCCATTTCTCAATCCTATAGCCCTGGCAACTGATCCCTAAATCCCTCTAGCTTATTCATTCCATGATTCCAGGCTGTAATGTTGTAATAAAAACACGAAGTAGGGATTATTATGATTTAGTTACTATGATCCATATAAGAAACCAAATTGAGAATTAGCACTTTAAAAACTCACATGTCAGTAGTGAAAATGATCTTTGGGGAAACTGTAGAGTCACAAGTACAAGCATAAATAGACCTATGTAAACAATAAATCTCAGGAGGGCTAGAAAAGTTCCTGTAGATTTAAACAACAATGGATCCAAAACAGAAGAAAAGACATCTGAGCTGAATGTGTACACACTTTTTCTTGACATTACTTGCTGAACAACACAGTATGACTCCTGTTTCTTCATGTTCAATTTATATTAAATGTTATGATTATTTTGGAGATTATGTCCAGATAGGGGAAGAAGATGTGCATAGATAGACTTTCTCTAAGGGACTTGAGCATCTGAAGATTTGAGTATCTGAAGCAAGTCTTGGAACCATTCCCCAAAGATACAATGTATGAGCAGATTATGATTTGATTCATACCCTGTTGAGCATTTGAACTTGAATCTCTTTTGTTCTATGAATAATATCATATTGCATTTTTTGTAACTAATTTTTAGTGAAGTACTTATGCATGTTCTTAACCTTTAGCTATTTTTAAAGATAAAGAACACAAATGTATCCCTAGCTTGATACTTCACATGACCACCTTATAGTGAAAGACCTTTAGGCTACAATAAATGAGACCTTATTAGGGAATATTTTTTTATTTCATTTTTTTGTAGGCTAGACATATCAAGTAGTCTATTGTAAAGATCCATTCATTTAAAAGCTTCCTGTCTAGAATGGAATTTGGCACCCACCACAGTGTAGATACACCTTAAGGATATTATAACAATCAAAATAAACAAATCACTGGACAGATACTGCATAGTCAAACTTAAATATCTATGAGAAAGATATTCACAGAGACAGAAAGGAGATTGGAAGCCATTGCCAGAGGCTGGGGCAATGGAGGAGGGAGTCAGAGTTAGAAGCTGTCTGTGAATCAGGACAGGGACTTGGTTTTGCGAGAGGAAAGGACTTCTGCGGATGGATGGTGAGCACAAATTCACTGCAATATGAATGCACTAATGCTATTGAGCAGTTCATATAAAATGGTTAAGGTGCTAAACTTGCTGTTATTTATTCTAGTACACTAAAAATAAAACTAGGATAACTACCCAAAACTTGTAGTAACTTTCCTTACCCTCCTTAGTTTTTAAGTATTTGGATTCTGTGTGTGTGTTATTAGAAGGCTTCATTTTGTGTCTGACTCTAATACACCAAATACTTTTCTTCTCCAGAAGAATCCTGTCAATTGTACTGGGTTTACTGTGAGTTTAAAGTGCTAGGAAGGTAATGTTTTCTTGTGCCAGGAGTCCCAGTCCTAAAAGACCAGAGACCACAAAGCTGTTTGTAGTCTTTAAACGTGGCAGCAAAATGCCATGAATATGCATGATTTCCTCCCAGTGGGACCCAGAAATAATGTAACTCAGGGAGCCCTCTGTGGGAGTTTAAAGATAATTGCAATACAGTTGTGCATTTATTCATTAATTTGGTCCCTCAAAATGCAAAAGCTGCCCATGAAGTCTTTAGGATACAGCCCTGCTCAGATAGCTTTCCAACCACAGTACCACTGTCATCTTCTCTCAGCTGGGCTCCTCCAATACTTCAAGCCAATGCTTCTGCTTCTTCCTTTACCTATTGCCTTCTATCCCCCAAGCAATGACCAATGGTGATAAAATGCAAGTCAGATTCCTTTCTTTTCTATTCAAAATTCTCCAACAAGTTTACATTTCCTTGGGAAAAAATGCAAAGTGATAGACATACCTTGTGTTCAGTATGAACTCACTGAATGAATAAAAGTATATAAATTAACTGAAGGGATAGGAGTATGTAAATATTCCCTGGTAGTTAATGTTCTAGAGTACATTATTAACATAGCAGTGAATAAATACAAAAGTATTATTTTCCTTTGGTCAAAATACAAATAAAAACAGTTGGTATAAACAGTTCTACATAGGTGGGAAGAGAAGGCAGGGCAGGGAGGGGGATGATGTTTGAACATTTCAGGGTTAAGAAAGGTGGAAAAGTGTGGTATTGCAGAGGAAGAAAACTGCAGGAACCAAAGTTTACTGGTGTTGATTCGTATCCAAGGAACAGTGATAGCAGAGAAGCAGGGGTGTAGGAGGTGCCCTGGGCAGACTCTGGAAGTGAGCACCAATCTGCAGCAAACACTGCACAACTGGAGTGTAGAACTGAAAATAAAAAGATGGAAAAACTAACAAGACACAGGGAAGGGTGGATTCCTATAACCCTAAGGTCTTTATGATGTCTCTGACTACCTGACTGAAATGAGACCATACTGCCTTCTCTGAGGGACAGCTCAAACAAGTGTATTTAACGCAGCTCATGAGCCATGCTTAATATACCTTTCTGCTTTCTGTCATCACTTTCTGGGATTGAAGGCTCACTTCCTGGGATTAAAGGTATGAGTCACCATGCCTAGCTGTTTCCAGTGTGGCCTTGAACTCACAGAGATCCAGACAGATCTCTGCCTTTGGAGTGCTAGGATTAAAGGCATGTGTACCACCATTTTCTGGCCTTTATATCTAGTGGCTGTTCTGTTCTCTGACCCCAGATAAGTTTATTAGGGTGCACAATATTTTGGGGAACACAATATCACCACACCACAGTATAAAAGAGACTTTAGATGCATATTAAGTAATCATTAGTGTAGGCCTTGTTTGAGAAACTGTCAAGAATTATGATGATCAGGAAAATATGCCGACCGAGTATAAACCATTGAAGAGTCTATCATGGTTCATGCATGATAACAGTATTGGTTTTAAAATTGTTTTTAATAAAAATTGTGTTTGGGGGGGTGGACCAATTGGTAAAGTGCCTGCTGTCCAAGCATAAAGACCTAAGTTTGGATCCCTAACACTCATGTAAAAATCAGGACATGGTAGCACACACTGTAATCCCAGTGCAGTAGGGAAGTGGGAGCAGAGAAGGAGGATCCCTGACATTATTCACTGACTAGCTGTCCTTGCTCATGTCCTGGCAAGCTTCAGGTTCAGTGAGAGACCCTGTTTTTTTAAAGTAAACTTGGGAATGGCAGACCCTTTATTGATCTCTGGCTTACATGTTTGCACATACACCTGTGCTCTCACAGGCAACACACACACATATGCACACACACTACACAAATAGATATATATTTGAAAAATCCCCACAACATGTTGATGATTAGCCAGTCTTTATGACAGGCATAGTAGGTTCATTAACCTAGTTTCCTTTTGTTATATATGTTTGGAAATTTTAAATCGTGCAAAAGTTTTCCAAAGACATGTAACCTCCAAAGAGAAGTTACATGCACATAACTGTTAGAACCTCAGGCTTGCTCTGTGTGCAAGGAGAAAGCCATCTTGTGTTCACAACTGGACATATACAGGATCTGACAAGAAAGGATGAAGGTAAATTTCAAAGAGAAAATCCCCCCCATACCCCATGCCCTGTTGCCCACATAATTTCACCTTACATCTTCATATTTCAATTCAATGGGATATCTGAGAAGGGACTTACAGAGCTGTGATCTCCCAAACTGAGCTTGTGAGACTGCGGATGCTCAAATAGTGACCAAATTCCTTGTTCTGTGAACATGCTTGAATATCGTGGCTTGTACCAAAGGAAAATTACTTAGGAGTTTAAATTTTAAGTTGTTACTCATCTCTATCTCCTCTCTCTGTTTCCTTTCAGATATTTGCACACAATATACTTAGGTATTCGGAGCCGGCAGAGTGGGGAGAGTGGCAGGTGGCGGTTTTACTGGAGGATGGTGTATGAGTATGCGGATGTGAGTATGCTGCACTTGCTAGCCACCTTTCTGGAGAGTGCTCCACAGCTGGTCCTGCAGCTCTGCATCATCGTACAGACTCACAGCTTGCAGGCCCTCCAAGGTATGGGCTCACAGTTTGATTTCTGAAATGGGGGAGAGATTGGCTACTTTTGTCATAATCCAAGGATGTCTGATGTCCTTCGTTGACACAGGCCTCTTGTATGTCTGCTGTTTTGCACATGACTTGTGAATTATGCATGATATTTCCTCCACCCTTGCCTGTCATGGTCATTTTAGCAAGAAAAAATTTGATTTATGATTTTGCACTTGCTCCCTATGGGCATAGAGTCAAAGCCTGATTTTCATGGTAGAATAATTTGCAAAAAGTTACCAAGACAACAATAACTATTATTCTCTGTCTAATATATATGGATAATACATACCATTGCCTTTGACATTAAGAAATAGAAAGGGACAGATGAAAAAAATGTTACCTTGACGATTATTTTTAAAAATCATATGGAAATCTTATGAATATTTAAAATGTATTATTTCTGTACTATAGACTTTATGGCAGGTTGATAAGTATCTGGCTAATATTTTGTTCTGCCATATGATCAGCAAGACTGTTGCATTTATAATAAGTGGCTAATGAATTCCCCCTAAGTGCCTGCCTTGAGGAGATTTCTATCAGGATCCAGAACAGATGCTACAGGCGGCTAAGGATATTAATCTGAGAGATATTCAATGAATCTAAGCACACTGAGTTCTTTAGTCCATTCACTTTATCCTTCTAAGTCAATTCTATCTACACAGTTTCTTTTCTGTTCTCATACTTAGCTCCCCTCAGTCCCTCCTGCTCTCAGTCCCTTCTGCTGTTCTCTCATCTCTATCTAGTTCTTTCCATCTCTGTCCTCATCTTTATTCTTCTCCATCAATTCTCTCCAGTGTTCTCAGAGAGCCAGTATATATACACATGCAGTAATTCTTTGGCAAAGCAGTTCCAGGCTTGAAGTTTTCAGGGCCACAGAGAGAGGTGATAAGGATCCACAATAAAGCAATAAATGTCAGCTTCTAATTACAATGCAAAAGGGGGGTAACTAAAGGGGAGTTCTCTGGTAAGGTCAACTAAAGGCTAAGACCAATTAGGGAATCTAGGAATAGCACCTGGCTGAGGAGGAATTAAAACTTAATTTGCACAAGAGAAGCTTGGCACCTATCATCTGCCTGACCTTGAGGGCAATCTCCTTGGGTCAGTGGGAAGTAACTGCCTTAACTCAGTAACTAGCAAGTGGCTGAAAACATCATCCCAGGAATGTGAGCAGTAAATCTCTTAAATTAGGGTCTTGTGTAAATAACCTGGGGTCAAGGTAAAGAGTTGAGGATTTAATTGTTAGTGGCTTTTTTCTCTATCTGTGGGTGAGAGGAGCTAATGTTTATCTCTCTGCATTTGTCCTTGGGAAAAGGGATCTTTGCTGAAATACTTTTGTCTGGAGAATGGCCCTGGCCAGACATATGTTAGTGAAAAACAAACACAGCAGGGGACAGTTGTCCAATTACCCCAAATGTATAGGGAAAGTTGTGCCCAAGATTGAGATGCAATCGTGAGAGTACATGTACACATAACATGGAAATGAACGGTAAATGGGGAGAATCATAGCTGTTATTGCACAAGTTTACAAGAGACAGCCAATTCATTCAAAAGGCAGTAATTCTAAAATGTCTTGCATGACGGTTTCCTCTAACAGAACCCTTAGTTCTGATAGATTGACCTTCTGAACTCTAGTTGTCACTGCTGTATATTCTCATGGACTTTTGCTACCAGCAGCTCTCAAGGAGTGGCCCTGACATTTCTTTGGGGGCTGATGCTCAGAACCATCCTAGAACAAGGCATGAAGATAAGATGGTTACTATAGATAGATAGGGATATAAATTGGTATAAGTATGATGAGTAAGGGACACTTCTAATTAATATGTTTCCTGGTGTGTTTCTCAATCCTGTAAGCAGGCTGATAATGTCTCCTGAATAGCATAGCGCCCTATGCGTGCTGTTTCCTCCTCAGCAGAACTGTCTGAGTTACACACAGCATTACCATGCTCTGTCATGCTCCATCTAGAGACTTGATCTGAATGGTGTTTGGAATTTTTAGTGTCTTTGTAGTTGTTAAGGAAAGCGCATGTTAAATTTGTCTGGGTGTTTCAATTAGAGATAGAGACCAAGGTGAATATGACAGGAAAAGAAGGTGATGTGGAGATGAAAATGCCAACAGTGCTTTATCTGTTTATTCTGAGCCAAATGTGAGTGATTATGACTTGGAAACAGAGTCTTGGTTATAAATGGTATGTTACACTATGGGAAAGTTCACTATTTGTTGTTATTTACTTATAGTTTTTATTGGATTTTTATTATTAACTAAATTTATTTATTTTACATCTTGACCACACTTTCTTCTCCCTCCTCTCCTCCCAGCCACCTCCACCTCCCCTCTGTACCCCCATGCACTCCTTCTCTGTTTCTGTTCAGAAAGGGGAAGGCCTCTCATGGATATCAACAAAACATGGATATCAAGTTGTGGTAGGACCAAGCACCTCCCCTTTTATTAAAGCTGGGCAAGTGTACCCAGCATGTGGAATAAGTTCTCAAAAGTTAGCCGAAGCATTAGAGTCAGCTCCTGCTCCCACTGTTAGGAGTCAAGGCCAGATACACACATATTTATTATATGGTTGTTTTGGAGCAAATCAGTCATCCTGTCTTTCTTCAAATTGACCGGTAATCAGAGTAACAAGGCTCTCTCTTTCTCTCTCTCTCTTTCTGTCTCATGCCCCCTGCCTCCCTCCCTTCATCCATCATGTGGCACAGGATGTCACATGATGGCTTCAAGAAGTACTCTTCCAGAAAAAGTGTTATCAGGAAGAGAATCATTCCTGAATAATAGATGTTCAAGCAAAGGAAGATCAAGCTATACAATTGTCATATATGTAGAGGGCCTAGGTCAGTCCTATGCAGGCTCCCTGATTGTCAGTCCAGACTTTCTGCTGTTTTTTTTGTAATGTCCTTGACCTCTCAGGTTTTTAATGGATTTGTTAAGGGCAGAAATGCAGATAGCACAGGCTGCCCTCAAATTTACTGGGTAGCAGAGACTGAACTTAAGTTCTTTATCTTCCTGCCTCTACAGTCCAAGTGTGGAATTACAGATATCTGACATTATGCTCAGTATCACAGGAACTTTTATAAGCACAGAAAAGAAAATACATGAACTAGTGTGTTTATAAAATATATACTAGGGCCACTGGACAGGTGGGCTACAGACAGACAGGCAGGGGATTTGAATTGCGTCCTTGTCGTGTTTTTTAGCTGCAGGGTTGCTAGAGGATCAGTGTGGCAAGCTTAGGAAACTTCCCAAAAGTTAAGAGGTGGCATGTCGGCTGCAGAAGCAGATAATAAGTTCCAAAGGACAGCCCAAGATATTTTTCCCTTCTCTATAGTCACAATGTTTTGCTCAGTCAAGGTTGAGCTGTTTTTAGCTCTTTAAAGAATATGGCTGCTTCAGAGAATTTCATTCAGCTCACAGAGCCCTAAAAGCGAATGGCCCATTACTTCAAAGATTCCTGGCCCAACTCTGATTTTACACTAGAAAGCCTTGTTTTCAGAAACTTAAAACAAAAAAGCACTCCAAAATACTGCAGTTACAAGTGTATACTGCCATGCCTGGCCCAATGCTTAGCCTTATTTATCCTAAACAAAGCAACCAAAGTTTGGGTTTCTTTGAATTGAGTCTCTTCATTGACACAGTTTCTTTTCCCTTTATCTACAAAGCCCTCTACATTTATGCCAACAATACTTGGGCTTATATACTGGACCTCAGTGTTGGCCAAAGAAAGCTTACTACCAACTTTCAGAGTGCTGTGGGGAAGCAGACCTGTGTCATTCCCCAGGGGATCAATGTGCACAGTGACAAAACTATCAGTAGAATCAGGCAAGCCATTGAATATAGACAGCAAATAAGCCCATGAGGTTGATTTTATCATTGCTGATTTTTAACAATGAAGGGGCTATGATGTTGTGAATGAAAACACACAGAGCAAACAAGAGGATCTACTACAAACCCTCCACAGCTGGAGACGAGCTCAGGCTACTCACTGACATCGACGAGCTCAGGCTACTCACTGACATCGATTACCAGGAGGCATGTCTGCTCACAGATGATCTCTAACAATGAACCACCTGATGAATGAAATTGATGTAGGTTATTAGAACAGAGCCTTTTCCCTCTGGAGAACAACAACAAAAGAGGAAATTCAATAAAAGAGCTTAATTTGACATGCATTTCATGCATCTTTAGTGATGAAATTCTTGGGATTTGAATGTAAAAGCACAGTCCTCTAAGCAGATAATCAACAGGCAAGAAACCTGTGAGGTATTTCCAAATAGCTGTCAATTAAAATCTCAAACCATTCTTATTTAGCAGGCTGAGAATCATCCTAAATCTGCAAGCCATTTCATGTGACTATGACTAAAACTACTATTATACCATAAAAGGAAAATCACTCTTCTTCCCCATTTCAACCATCTCCCCTCTGAAGGACACTATAGGAAACAAAAAGAAAATCAAACAAGAAATATGACATTTTAAAAACAAAGGTTAAAAAATGAGTTCTCCTTGTGAAAGTGGGTAATGTCCAAAACTCTGTTAACTGAAAATCCTTTCTCTCTCCTCACTTATTGAGTCATTAAGTCAGTGTGGCCTCGTTGTGCCGAAGGCTGACAGGCTTAGGGGAGCGCTGGCAAATATAACCATCCTTCAGTTCCTCCTGGTCCAGGAAGACAGCCTGACTGCTGTTCTGAGACCGTGAATCAGGACAGAGCTGCAGCTCAAACCTGAGCACCCAGTGGTTTTCATCCCTGCTGTCAGCCGAGTTCTGGTAACATGAGCTAGTAAGCAGCTGCTCTCTGGAGGGGGAAAAGTCCTGGGGCCAACTCTACTGTGTGGAAGGAGCACTTAAGGAGGTCCAGCTATGAAGGACAAGGTAGTCAATGTGCCCTGTGCTTCTTGGTGCCAGAGTAGGCCCCATATCCATCTTATATCCCAGGAGGAGAGGGAGATGAAGGCAGATCAGCAG